GTCCGTGAATGACTGAAAAATTGTGCTGAACACTGGAATTTGACACAACACTGTAAAATGATTATGAATCAATAAAAAATGTAAAAAAAAATTAATGGTACTGATAAAAAAAAAAAATAGATAGTATCCTCAGAGTAGAGACTCACAAGATAGTAGCATACCCCTTCATCACATTTCTTTTGAGTTCATATTTTATATAAACATGTGTGTTTAATACAAAAAGCATATTATTATTATTTTTTAAAATTTCAGGTCAGTCATAGAAAAGAATAAAATAATGTCATTTGCAACAACATGGATGGACCTGGAGATTGTCATACCAAGTGAAGTAAGCCAGAAAGAAAAAGAAAAATACCATATGGTATCACTTATATGTGGAATCTAAAAGAATGACACAAATGAACTTATTTACAAAACAGAAACAGACTCACAGACATAGAAAACAAACTTGTTTTTAATCAGGCATTATTGTGTCCATTTTACTTATGAAGAACTGAAGAGAGTCTTTGGACCTTGCCAGAGATTGTAAAAGCTTATGAGTGGTTCAGTCTACTTTTGTCTTAAGTTGTGTTTTAGTCACAACCACAGTACATGGTAGCTATTATATATATTTTATAACAATAAAACTATAAGCACTTTCATTTTACAAAGAATAGTATAGGTGAGAGGTCAGTTAATTACACAATGAAAATTTTATATTTTATTTACAAAGTACATATTCTACGTTCTACCCTTGAAAGTCTATGATTAAATCTATATATGATAACAAAAATATATCAAATTAGAAATCAAGTATACGTTTCCAAAATAAGTGTACAGGTATTCCCAGGGAAGTATATATCGTAGCTTTTATACATTTTAATTTTGTATCACATATGTAGGTTTGTCAGAGAATCAATAGTGAATATTTATTCTGCTAAATTAACAATACAAACTATTAAAGCCAGTTTGTATAGAAACATTTGAAAAATGGAGAATAATTACATTTGATCATGACTTGTTCAGCTGCTGTCCATAAATCCTTCATATCTATTTTGTGTACCAAATATTGGACACAATGAAATTAGAACTCAGTAACTTTAATACAAATTTAAAGGGACAAATTGTGCTACAGAGATTTCTACAAATATAAAGGAAAATATATTACTTTATTTTCTGCTAAAAATGTGTTAGTTTTGCAAATTGATTCACAGAAAGGAGAAAGGGATAAACCATGATTTTCATTGGAAGGAAGACTGTGAAAATAAGTTTGCATTTTGCCAGTAGATCGGAAGCTAAGTGATTTGATTTTTATTTTAGCAATTATCACTCATTAAAAATTGGCAAATGGCCTTTTGTATTTATTTATCAAATATGAATTGAGCAGGATAGTAACATGATCTGATGATTCTCCCTTTCTCCTCTCGTAGTTGCTTGGTCATCAGGGTGTGGAATCACACCTCTTCTTGCTTGAGCCTGTTGGAAGTCATCCTCAAGGAGTATGATAACACAAGTTGGGGGAACAGGAAAAGAGAATTGCAAATGAATGACAAAAATAGTAAATAAAATAAGAGATGTAATAGACACTCTGCGGAGAAGAATTTTAATCATTGGTAGGATAAAAAGTGTCATGATTACTTGATCAATTTCATCATCTATAAACATGATCACCCTGCAGATATATCTATAATTCCAGATTCCAAGGAAAAGGATAGACTATTATTTTCAATTATAGTAAATACTTAATAAGAAGTTAGCTGTAATTCATTTCACAATGGAGTATTTGAATTTTAATGGATCTTATTCTATAAATTTAATTTCTTGTTATTAAGAATAATGGCTAGATGATTGATATATAAGTAGGTAGCTGATAGATAATGACATAGATGAAAGGAACAGACAAGTATACATTGCTATTAATTTGTTAGTTTTGCAATTTCAGCAAACTAGAGAGTAAATATCACATAATCAGATATAAATTACTCTTGAAATTTTGTCATATTTCCCCAAACATTTTTCCATGTCTAATTTTATACAGAATCATTTAGAAAAGCTATTTTCCAGATAAAATATTTTTCTATTTTTAACAACATTGTCACATAATTTTTTTTAATATTTAGGTACTTAGGGTCAAAATTTAGAACCCTGACAATTTTCTAATAAAAAGCCTTATAAATTTATATATTAATCTTAAACAAATTATTTTTCATTATCAGCATTGACATTAATCATTACACATATATTTACATAAATTGTGTAACTTTCATCTACATTTCTAGATGGACAGGTTGACATAAGTCAAAAAGAATTGGATTTAGAATTTTAAGATAAATTCCTGCCTAATTATTCTATTTAATTAACTAATACTTAGTTTCTGGGTAATTATATATGATGCTTGAAAAGTATATATCTGCTTTGAGGTACATATATTCATTTATTTCTATATACCTGTAATACATATTTGTTGATTACTTCTATGTAAATTCTGCAAAAAGAGATTTGATGTCTATCCAAGGTCATTCTTTTTTATGCTGTATCTGTAGGGATTACCAATGACACTCAAAAACAAATGCTCACTGGAGAATGCTTTTTAGGTCTGTGATACTAAGTGCATCGGAAGTATACAAAAACACTGGAAATGAAAAATCTAATTGATTTGTAGAGGATGTTTGTGTGTGTGTGTATGTGTGTATTTTAACATCAACTAAAAGTGAGTCACTTTAGATTATTCTCTGCAGACTAATTTAAATAAATAAGCATAAAAGAAAACCGAGGAAGGAAAAGGATCTAGAACAGGGAAACATATTCTAAAGAAGATCTTTAGTAGTTGGAATGTCATTCAATTATTGCCTATAAAGTAAATTAGAAAATGGCATTTGAAGAAGGGGTATCCCCATGGCAGATATGTGATACTGCATTGAGAAACCAGGAATTGGAACAATCTGTTCCCCTATCAAGAGCAGTACTACACAAACTAAAAGGCATATGCTATTAGGCCCACAGAAAAGTCATTCTCTTTATTTGTTGGAAAAGTGAGTAGTGGGTATTTGAGCAGCAATTACTTTGTAATGTACAATTCTTTATTCCGGCCTTGGAAGAGGTAACTAAGAATGTTTAAACATTATCAGCTGTTCCTTATTTGAAATCCATGTAATAGTTGTGTATATAGGATTTTACCCTCAAAATTCAAAAGTAAACAAAAGGTTACTAGATATAAAATATTAAGAGAATGAAATATCAGAAGAGGTAAGATAATAGAAATAAATTTTTTTAAAGTAAAAACCTGACGTGACATTAAAAAAGTATGTATTTTAATGCCTGTATAAAAGAAAAAACAAACTCAAATACTAAATAAACAGAGTCCCTAATTATATCCCTTTTGCTTTGGGTAAAACTGTCATATTCAGAAGAATAGATAAATAAGAGGATTTGGAAAAAAGTCTAGAAATTATTCAAGATTTCTCAAGTATTTTGTGCCATTCTACTAAATGCATATAAATTCTAAACAAGGGCATGCCTCATTTTTCATATTTGTTATGTTAGTTGTTCCAAGAAACATTTGTTTTATTGACTTTTGTGTATTTCTTAGGATAAGATTAATGGTTATGAAAACCATGCCAAGTTTTTTCTTTTATAAATTAGCCTGCTGAATGTTATAATAATACACATTTTTAAAAGATGAAGTCCAAACTCATCGTTTAACACAAAAGGAAAGCCATTACATTTAAAATCATGATTGTCATTACACTGTCCATAATCTTAAAGAAAAAGAAGAAACACCCGCCCACACACACACCATATGTAATATGTGGCAGATACCAATAGCAAGATTATGAATGACGGATTATGAAAGGTGGATAGGTTAAATGCAAATCATTGCTCTGATTATAACATTCCACTAGGGCCCAAAAGTTAAGTAAAGAGAGTCTGATTTAAAGGGGGAAACATTATCAGGAGACACTTATGAAACAATATCAATAAATCACTTTGTTTATTTGGACAATCAGCCAGATGGGCTGAGGATTCTTAGGTATGTCTGACTGTTCCAAGAGTTTTGACAGACACATCAGGATGACTCATAATTGATTGACAGGAGTAGTTAAAACAGCACTGACCTATTGACCCCTTTGCAATGATCAGATTAGATAATTGTAGATTAAGTCATTTTGGCTCTCATTTTATTCAATACTATAAGAATGGTTGTACAACAGTACTAATGCACTTAATGCATATGAGTTATACACTTCAAAATAATTGGTAAATTTTATTTGATGCATATTTTACCGCAATTAAAAAAAAAGGCCTAGAAGTACTATAAATATGTCTAGCTGTAAATACAATGCTTCTAGCCTTCTGTGAAATTTTTTCACCCCACTTTTGTACGAATATAATCTTAAGTACCTAAATTCCAGTATTCCCATGAAAATGTACATACGGGTCTGCATGTGAGGGATGTAGTAAGTCTGTATCATATTTTCCCAGAGCACCAGCAATGAATATGAAAGACTGAGTTCATGTGCCAGCTTGGATTACGTACAATCTGGAGAAAACACATACTTTCATACATTTGTGAATTATTCATAACGCAGGTTCCAGGTTGTAACTAAAAAATGGAACTCCATCTGTAGCGTTCTAACTTCTAGAATACTATAGTAGATTTCTTTCCTTCTACGAGGAGCTGCTGTGCTTTTTTTTCCCTAAACACCTATTTCCCGTTTGTTTTAATTATGAAACATGGAAAGTTGCTATCATTCAGAATTGATTTCTGTATAGTATTGACATTTATAACTAGGGAGAATAGCAGCAGATTTAATTAATAAGTCATGCCACATTATAAAGTTTGAAAAATCTACCACTTTGGTGAATGGGGGTGGGTGATATGGCATGCAAACTGCTTCTGCATATTGGATTTCAGTATTTTATTATTTATAGCACTAAGTGATTGTTCCGTCTGTGTTGAGAATGTTCTCCTATTGCTTCTAATCATTAAAACAAGTAGGATGCTTTGATTATACCAGAAAGACACTTATGGTATTATCAGAACAATTCAGTCTTGCGGATGTCTGAATTTTTAATTCAAGAACATCCAAATGAAAATGTTAAGAATCAAGCTGATAGTGGTGGGAGGATAAGTGGTGTGTTATTTCTAGTAATATAATGTAAAGAATATAATTTTTAAGTTTACATTTTATAAAAATGTCAGTTACCAGATTATAAAAAATTATTAAGCAGTTATTGCTTTTCTATCTTTCTGTTTTTCCACAATGAATTCTATGTGTTGAAATTCATTGGAAAAGTATAGATAACTTGAAACTTTAAAATTATTATATAATGTAATGTTTTACATTCAGATTGATAAGGAACTGGTATTATCTGGATCTGTATTGTCAAGATAATCTGGAAAATGACATTTTTTGTGACATATAGATGAGTACAACATAAATAAGTTGTTATTTATAATGAAAAGTCGAATACATGGTTGGAGAGGTGGGTAAATAGCTAGATAAAAACAATTTTAAGGTGAACAGATTTTTATAAAACTTGTTTCAAGCTATTTTAGCTTTTCTAGTTTAGGGTTGAATGGAATGAATTAATGTGTATTATAGTTTATTACCATCTTATCACTTATTAATATGGATATTCTTTCATCAGTTTATTTTGAGCAATATTGCTAGTATTTACCATTAGTATTTTTCCTGGAAATGAATTAAAATGAAAAAAATTAAACACAATTTATTTTATTTGAGTTTTCATACAGCTAAACAACCAAAAATATCCTAACAATGAGGATTTCTTAATATAAAACACTTGGAGGGCAGAATAATTTTTCCAGTCTTTTTGCTTATAATCTCATGCTCTTAGTTATTGTGATTAAGTTGTACTTTGAGCTCATCTTCAGTGGTGAATTGCCAGCATTGTAGATGGAATAAAAATGTTCATTTGACAAATTTCTACATGCCATTCTTTTGTTTTAAGCTTTATTAAAGTCTTTATAAAACTACTGAATTTGTGCTTCTAAAATTTTTAAAGCTATTTTGAATACTTAATACCTGATATAAATTAAAATCCACATTGTCATCTAAAACTTGATAAGTTTGGAAAGTAGTTTTTACTTAGCCATATAAAAAGTTGCATACATTTTACCATAAATAATCATTTCTGCATCTGAATTATATAGAAATAGAAGGCCTCTAATGTCCAGAATATATGCTCAAAAAAATAAGAAACAATTATGTTTATCTATTATTTTTATTCTCTTGACAGTTTTTGTAATGGTCACAAATCCAGAAGTGATGTATTTATGACTGAAAATGAGAGCGTAGACTCTAACCACTGTATCAAATTACCAAAAGATCATTTTTTTAAACAGATCCACAATGTAGAACTAAATAACTAGTGTACCTTAAAAGTATTTTGATAGAAAGAAATTATACTGATAATAATTATTTTTCTTTCCTTCAGCTGTTCATTTATACAAATAAACAGTTCAATGTTAAAATTAAGATGAATATCAGCAGAAAAACAATGCATTCAAATACATATGTTATGTCATATGATATTATGTAGCATTAGAAAAGGAGAATTAAAACCCATTAACAATAAATGCATATTTCTTTATCAGTAGATAAAATTATAGTACCTCAGATGGGTTTCTACATGAAATCTCTCCCAGTGTCTAATTTAGCCCCAACTGCAATGGGTAAATGTATGGTTAAACAGAACACATATTTTAAGATAGTGCTTAATTCTAGCAAT